CTGGAGACAATACGGCAAGGGACAGGTGTAAAATATCCAGATTTTCAAGATAATGATGAAAAAAAAAAATTGCCATATGAGGAGGCGTATTGTCGTCAAGAAAATGGAAATATGTGCCAATTATGGCCCTTGTCGTTGTAGCCATCCCCTGTTCTCGGAAGACTCTTCAGCACCTACGATCGCTATAAATACAGAAACGCAACTCGTTATAAACAAAACAGCATTCCAATTTGTATCCTCGTCCAAGCGCTAGCTGCACCTTGATGCATTGTTGCTGCAAGTCGTCTTAAAGGGGCATAATATGTTAGACCAACTTCTCACAAACGATTACGAGAGGTTTTGAATTGATATGCTCCTTGACAGAACATTAGACACTTCATATGTGCTCTGTCAGGCACTATGACCACGTGCGGATCTACGGGGGGAGGAGGGCTTTCGGGCTGAAGCCCCCCCAAAATGGAAAAATATAACCATGTTTTATGGGAAAAAAAATTAAAAAACACCTCTTAAAGAATTATTGTTCGTGTAATTACATTTAAAAGTACTTAAGGAATAACTTAAACACCATTTCATATAGGTAGTTAGTTTCTTTCTGTTTTCCCAAAGTAATTATCGTTATTTTTATGAAAAAAAAAGGTTTCGGGCTGAAGCTCCCCCCCAAAATTAAATCCTGGATCCGCTAGTGACTATGACCGCCCACTCTCACGATAATATTGCGAACTTCTGGTTCAATATGATGATGTCTTGCCATCGTTAAACAGAATATTACTGGATTAAAATTGAGAAAAGTCGATGTTGGTTTTCACAATGAGTATTCTTCATGTTGATTATTCTTTAGTTAATAATTTATTAAAAATAAAGGATACTTGTTTACTTTTTATGTTTACCAACAAATAAGAGAATCGCTAACAAAAAAAAAAAAAAAAAAAAAAAAAAAAAGAATATAGTAATTAAAACGAATCAATTAAGAATCAAATAAAAGTATCCATATTAATTTTTTAGCAGTTAATATTAACGATGATATAGAATTCAACTTTTATTCCTTTAACAGATAGTCCTTGGTACAGATATATTTTTATCAAATTATTAACATCCACCTGAAACTTCGTGAATAGGTTCATCGTAACCTACAACTATTTCATTTACGAAAACTCTTGGAATTGGGTTGTTTTCATTCTGGAGTATTTAATTAGATACTAAAAACTCGTAAGTACCCATTTGCTTTCCACTGGATCGTAAGATAATTTTATTACCTCGTTATTTTGACACTTGGGAGGTGTAGGTCACGCAAAACCGCTCGAAATGTCAAAATAAAGGCCAAATGGCTAAATGTTTTTGTAGGCCACCTTTTTTCTCTATTTTGTGACAAAAATTATCTTACGATCCAAGTGGAAAGCAAATGGGTATTTACGAGTTCTTATAACGTAATTAAATAGACAAAGTTTACCGCTCTTTAGATTGAAAACGGCCCAATTCCGAGATTTTTTGCAAATAAAATATTTGTAGGATACGATGAGATGAAGCTATTTACGAAGTGTCTGGTAGTTAATCATTTGAAAAAAAAGGGGTCTGTACCACGGACTAAGATGTAAGTGTGAAAAAGTAAATAAAACGTACCCCATTTTTTTTTCCAAGATTTTTTTTTTGACAAGCGCTGACACAACTGAAAAATAGACGGAATAAAAACCTTCACACGACCAAAGCAGAGTACACGAGCAAACACACTCCCGCCGCCTTTGACAGAGGGCAGAGGACGATGCTCCTCGGACGACACAATGTCCCCCATTATCCGGGGTGTAGCGGTACCATCCCAGGGGCACTAGGTACATGAGTAAGGAAAACATGGAGTATAACAAAACCAGGAGGGTGGGAGCGAATGAATACTATACGTACTATACACTTCTAGACAGAACATTTAGCTATAATTCACCTTAATACAACGAAACATATTTAGGTTTTTTCTTCTCTGTCTTATATTCAGAAGGTAAAGCAATATCACAAATAAGACCTCATCTGAAAATTTCAGAAGTAGCGAAGGGATAGAAGTAAAAAGATAAATACCATCTTATATTTCCTCAACTACTTCAGGAACAGCAACTCAGGTAGGTAACTCAAGTGGCTCGTGGTACGGTGATTTTTTTAGGAATTCGCGTACAATCGGATTGTACCTTACAATTTTTTAAAAAAGTTCTTGATTCATACAATTCAGAACATTTTTTTAATTGTAGAATTTATCGAAATTCTTAAATTCGCTAATGAATAAATATCGCAATAATATTACTGACTATTACATCATTTTCTTTTAAACCTTCTGGAAATACTGTGTTTGCAAAATAATATTTAAAGATAAGATCACTATTATTCTAAATGAGTTACAAAATAATTTATAAACAAACATCTTATTTTTCGTGAGACGCTTCAAAGTGCCTTATGAAAAAAATTACAATTTTACCATTAAAACCCTTTTCGATTTCTTTCCAAATGACTATGATAAACTTCAAGACCGAAGAAACAAGTTCGTATAATTTCATTGATTATTTGATGAACTATTAAAAAAATTTCAGATATTTTATTTTTTTTTCCTTTTATTTTTGTATGCAGCTGTTCCTTATATTTTTACATTTTGAAATAAATATCATCACCTCAAACAATTAAATCATTGTTATTGATTGAACCAAGGCCAATAAGCATAACAAAGTAGTTTTTTTTAACGTACAAATAAAATTTCGTTTGAAATTTCTCAATCTCCTCAAATAATGCACCTTTGCCACACTTGGCCTTAACATAACCACCATTTTTTTCCCTTATTGGAGTGCATAAGAATCTTGAAGTAGTTTAATTAATCATAATTATGTTATCATGATGAAAATAAAGCCTATATATGTATAATGTGAGATTAAGGAAAGTAGAAGCAATCCAAAATTTTGTAATTAGTTATTATACTTATTATGTTAAAAGCACCCTTTAAGCACCTTTTATGATATCTCATTAATTTGGTCAACAATTCAGCTGTGATGGTACGGTGATATACTAATGGTATATAAGGGCGTAGGATGTCAGAAATGGAAGGAAGCAGCTTGCTGCGACACCCACACTCACGGCTAAATTGGGTTAATAAGAGCTCCAGCTCCCTTAATTTCTTTGTCTTTGGAGTCTCTCCAGCTGACAGGCCTGTTCCATGATTGGGGATAAGCACTGGCGGATCTACGGGGGGGGGGGGAGAGGCTTTCGGGCTGAAGCCCTCCCAAAATGGTAAAATGTACCCAGGTTTTACAGAAAAAAATATTTAAAACTATCTCTTAAAGTATTCTTGTTCGTATAATTATATTTAATAGGACTTCAAGAACCACTTAAACACCATTTCATATAGGTAATTAGTTTCTCTAATTTTTTTCAAATTAATTATAGTTATATGTATATGAAAAAAAAAATCGTTCGTGCTGAAGCCCCCCCCCCAAAAATTAAATCCTGGATCCGCTAGTGGGAATAAGGGTGTACTCCCGACATCAGAAGCGCCGTTATTTGCAGTCATAACAAGATTTACCCAACGTTTTATTTAAACCTGAGTGCAATCTACTCTTGACTAACATTTATCCTTGTCAATTTAACGGTCCAATTTCCTTATTTAAACTGATAAATAAATAAACTGATGAAAAAAGTTTTAAGAAAAACACGGAAAGTTTTTATTAAAATGATAAAAATGGAAAATTAATAACACCCAAGAACTCAATGAATGATGGCAACGTTAAAACTACATAATAAACGATTACGTTTAACAGGAGTGCATATTATTATTATTATTATTTTTTAACATTTTATTGAAAAATATTACAATCTGTCACAGTTAAGGACACTTATAATTTTTAAAAAGATCTGAGAAAAATAAAATTTCTTAAAAAGGGAAAGAGAGGTTTGAGCCATCGCCCTTAGGAGGGGAAGGGATGGACGCCTCAGGCTTTTAATGATAAAATTAAATGTTACCAAATTATATTAAGGGTAACGTGGAATGTTTAGTTATTTCTGGAGGTATTTAAGAGGATTAAGGCTTTTTGTTTCGATACTTCAATAATACTCTATACTTTTTTAAACATTATTACCGTAAGATGGAGTGGTTTGGGACAGCGAGTAAAAATTAGTTGGTGGTGATTCCGTGGTGGATACACTGTGTTGGTTCCGTCTGTAAAAACGTGTTTTGTGTAGGTATACTTGTATACTAGGTTACACCTAGGTTATACCTAGTAGGTATACTAGGTATATTTGTGTAGGTACGCTTCTACCTTGCGGCGCACTATTCTTGAGGCAAAAGCGAAATTTTCATGAAAAACGAGAATTTTGAAAAAAAGCAATTGAAATAAATAAAACCTAACTGCAAAACGAGTGTAGTGAACTAGTGTTCTCAAACTGCCGCAAGGTAGTAGGCGCAGTACATGCCTACACAAAGCACGTTTTTGCAGACTGAACCAACACAGTTTAACCACCACAAATCAAATTTTACTCGCTTTTCCTAAGTTACTCCATCTTACGGTATATCGGTAAAGGGCACAATGTTCCATCTTTAATTTGGCCACAGAACCTACTACCCATGACTTTGATCTATTAAAATTTGTTTCTTAGTTACTAAATTATTTAATAAAAAAATGGACATGGTTTCCTTTACCTTCAGGGCACCGATATATACGTATGTTTTGTGAAAACATCAAGATAATGCGTTTAATGGTTAATAAAATATGACTACTCATTGACAACGATGCAGTTGGCAGTTTGATGTTTTCATCATCTTTTCAGATTACCAGAAAACGATTGTTAATCGATATATTCTCTTCAAATTTACATTAACAATGAGAGAGTGGAGTTCATAGTGAAACAATTGGTATCCATTTTGTGTCAAAAAATACAAAAATGAAGTTAAGTGCATCTGCATCGTACATTTGACAACAATCCAACTTTGGTTACGATTTCCTTATTAATAGAGCTAGGGTTGAAACCAAGCATGTACTGACTTTGCCACTTGTAGCCTCTTTCTCCTCTGCAGTTCGGCGAGGTAAGCGGACATTCTCTCGTTCGATGTTAAAAGACTCTTGGCAGCCTCCAAACTTTGTGTCTGGTGCTTGCAGGCAGCAAGCAGTTTGGTTGTCCCCTCGCGCATCTTTATCTCCACTTCAATCTTCTGTTCAAGCTCCAACTCCTGTGGAATAAATACAGAATGATAAGACCAACATTCTTAATCATTAAAATAAATAGAAAAAATGGAAAAACAGGAATAATCAAGGAAGGGCAAGGTATAATGGTACTGCTCAAGGTTATTAGAAGATGATTACATAATTCATATAATTCCAAATATCTAAATGAAATCAATAACTACAATAACTTTGATCGTATTAAAAATGATAAAATTATCCGGAATTCATCATTATAATACATTTTTTACATTGTATGCAATAAAATATATGGTACATACTTTCTCAAACATTATACTATATGATATCTTGAATTTCTCTTTTCGAATTAAACATCTACATAATGTACCTAATTTTTTTCACTTCTAAAATGTTATTTAAGACGGCAGAGTTTAAAAAGAGTTAATCAAGAAGGAAACAACAAAATTTATCATACATTCAAGAAGCTATGATATTTGCTAACCATCAAAACCTGAATTGACATCAATCAAATTAAAACGTCAATCTATTATATTATTTTATTTTTATATTTTTATTTAATATTATTTTTTTCATTATTTATATTATTCCCTTTGCATGCATGTACTGTTTGAATTAACACTTATAGTCTTAATATTTGTTGCCCAATGTGGCAGGTTGTATTATTACTAGAAAAACTTGTTGAAAACAATAAAATCACAATCTTATCCTAAAAGTTTTTGAGATAAATTCGAACAATAAAGTCATATAGATTAAAGTTAAATTTATTATTTAAATTTCGTTTAAAATATACAATATTTCGGCGAAAAATCTTAATTGCTTTAATTTCTGTTTTCATATATTTTTTGTTTAAACTAATAATCGTAATATTAGGATGCTCTACGGGGCCAAAAAAAAAAAAAAATATATATATATATATATATAGTTTTCCCATTTTGCGGTATTCCTAACTATCACTGAAATATGTTTATCACAATAATCCATTATTATTTATGCAAAATTACTTGGACGACTCAATGTTTTATACACCGATTACCTTCAATAAGAAATACAGAAACTGACATGTGAGTGATAGCCGTGGGCTATAAAAATAGTAAATGAATGTAAAAATACATGATGATATTATATTTAGCACACAATAAATTATCATATAATGAATACATGATAAAAAAAAAAAAGGAACTGCGGCAATATATCAGGGAAGCTGCCTTTAAATAGGCACTCATTGGGTGAGGTCAGTCTTGTTATAATCGTTCCATCATTTGATGCTCTAATTATTTCCCCCCGACCAATTACATGTTTTCTTTTATTAAATATGACAGCATGAGGAAATGATTATTGCAAAAGCCCTAGAATATATGAGAGTGCATTATTCAAGCTAAAACCTAGAAGAAGGTAGGCAAGTATTGGGTTTGCAAATAAGTCCTTTCGGTTTTTCTGTGTATTTTCATGTCAATATGATACACTTCTTATTTGATGAATTAATCCCTAAGGTGGATTGTTTATCCTGCTTGTAATATGTCAACAACTGTATCTGTTAACTCTTGTTAACACTAGCTTAGTATTGTGTTTGCTATTTCACTGTGAATATGAAAGAAAACACCATTGATTATCGGCATATTTTGTTTTATTATTTTATAAAAGGTAAGCGTGCTGCAAAATCTCTTAGGAATAATTGCAGTGTTTATGGGGATGATGCCATAACCGAACGCACCTGTCAAAATTGGTTTGCCAAATTTCATTCAGAAAATTGTGACATCAATGATGTTCAACGGTCTGGTCGCCATCATGAAGTTGAAACGAGAAATTTTATGGCCACTGTTGATCAAAATCCCAAAATCAAAGTCCCACCCAATCTGTGCGAGATATTGCTATGGCCCTAAATTTTTTTTTTTCAAAAATCACAACAAATATTATAACTTCAATACGACATTAGCTATCTACAAGATATTTAACAGAAATTTAGGGCCACATAAACTACACACAATGACATCAACAGGGTCTTCGCAAACAAACTAAAAATGGAGATAAAATATAAAAACCTATAAGGAGGTTTTGTTTATTTATTCCTTATGTAGGCATTAAATCAAAAAACCATTCGTACGGCTTTGAAGAACAATAATTCAGCTTTCCAACGGATATAGTAACATCAAATTAGAAGAATATCCTGAAGAGCTATGAATAATCGGAAGGGTGTTGTGTACCACCAAGACAACACTAGGCCCACACACCTTATTGGTCACTCGCAATAAATTACTGAGCCTTGGGTGGGACCTTTTGCCCCATCCTCCCTAATCACCAGACCTAGCTCCGAGTGACTACCACTTATTCCGGTCTCTGCAGAACTTCATGAATGGAAAGAAATTCCAAAAAGGAGAGGATATCACTTGGATCAGGTTTTTTTACCAATAAACTGCAGACATTATATAAACATGGCATTATGCAGTTACTGGAAAGATGGGAAAAAGTCATATTAAATAATGGCCAATATATTGTACATTAAAATAAATGTCTATAATACATTGAGTTTTATTTCACCCTGAAAAACCGAAAGGACTTATACAATATTCATTTATATATACATATTATATTATATTGTTCGTTTTATACAGAATATAGAATAAGCTCCCAAGACTTTTTGGAGGAATCCATTGCCCTCCCAACCAGAATGAAACGTCTGCGTCTAAGCATTGCAACGTTTCTAACTGATCTAAAAATCACATAATAAAGATTAGCAATAATAAATAAAGGAAAGGGAATACTAATAATGAAATCAATATTGATACCTAAAAATTTATAAGTTCCGTGGAAATATTTGTCATTGGTGAACCAATATCGATATAATAAAAGAAAGTTTTGTTATTCAATATACTTTTTATATAAATAAGATATCAAATGAAAATAATGAATTAATAAATGAATATTTTACACATAGAAATATATATTTATATTTTGGAATAACCGGAAGCGGATACAACTGCTTCCTAGAGATGCTTGAGCAGCTGGAACTCTCTACCTAATAACCTCTTGCTGACAAAAAAATGTCCCTAACGATAATTTACAGTTTACAAAAACATTTAATAATAAGAGAGAAAATTAAAAAAATATAATAAGACTATCAAATAATATGGCTAGAAACATAAAGCAATAGATATTATTAATAATTCACTACTAATTGAAAAAAAATTACTAGTAATACAAACTATTAATTGGACAATGCGAATAATACGCATAGTATATTGGCCAGTGAACAAATTACCGCATAAGTAAATGTAATGTATCATGAGAGAAAGAAATTATTCACAGTAATGGATTAATAGATGTATAATCGTTACAATTGGCTGTATCTATGCTCAAAATGGTCCCATTTACATGTTTATTTGTTTTTTGTTTAGTTTTAGGTATTGTAGGAAATTTAATTATTATTATTATTATTAAATAAATTTCTAATTATCATGGATTCTAATAATAAATAATAAATTATATACTTTTTGAGTATGAGCAAATAAAGTTAATTTTTTTGTTGGATTTTCGGTGGGAGGTGCTTATTTTTTCTCATCTGAAGGATAAGATAATTTTTAAAATGATGGATCAATCATTGGATTTGGTGAAGAATTAAAAAAGACCTGGAGAAGCAAAAAAAAAAAAACCGTAGAAAAAATATATAGAAAAATACACTCTTTAAAACTTGATTAGAAATATGGCAATTAAAAAAATTAAGTACAATACATTCTCAAATCATTCATTACTCAACTCAATAATGATGTGCTTATTAGAGCATACTATTATTGGGAAATTATTTAACCCCTAGCTTTGTAATGAAAGGAATACTATGGCTACATTTTAGTTATGATTTTAAAGGAATTCTCTGCAAGTCGTCAATACCTGAGGTACTCAGAAGGTGATTTCATGGCGCAAGTTACGCCATCTACATCTTTGAGGTGGGCAGAATTTGACGAGGTTCTGCATTTTTAAGGGGGCACATTTCAACAGGATAATGAATTTTCGGAAAAAAAAAAAAATCAAACGAGGGGACAAGAGGAAAACATAAAACAGGCCACTGAAAGAGTAATTGTATATGACCTATGATTTTTTAAATGCAACTACGGCTAGCACAGTTTATAAAAGGATGGGGCAGAGTGACTGAACGTGCTTACATGTGTGCACAGCCCTGCGGTAGTCCAGAGACCTAATATATAGATAACCAGATAAAAAATAGTCACGAGTTCGCGTCTCGGTGCCAGTGGAGTCTTTTAAATCCCCATTTATATAAGTTTATAAAAGGAAGATAGCAATAAAATATTTTGGAAGGTTCATGCGCCATCGACCTTGAGGGGAGGGGGAAAGGGATGGGTACCCCTGGTCAGTTCAGAGGAAAAGGAAACGAAAAGGTTTAACCTTGGTGTGAGAATAAAAGAAGGTACGATCCCCTGACTTGGCCCTCAGGGATAAATCTTTCTTGACAAGATGATTACAAGAGTCCTTCTTGGAAGGAGTCAACGTATCCTATCAACTATCAAGGAGATTCGTTAAACGAAGGATTATTTAAGATTGGAAGCCTGGCAGGTCCCGTTTATTTCTTGTGCGACTTGTAAAGAAACTGCTGTGAACATCATTTTTTTCCTAGTGTCGATATTACAAAAAAAAAAACTTAATATTTAAAAATGGCATAGCAGTCGGGTACTTTCCACAGCACATCACGGCTCTTGGTAAGTAGATTCGTCCTCTGTACCGGTGCGTGACATCCAGACGTCTTGAGTTTCATTCACTGGTGAAAGGAAGCAGACTACAACACCAAGCAGACAACCCAAACATATATGATCGGGTATAACAAGCACATAAATAATGAAAGTGCACATGAGGAAACTATACTAGTTTGGAAGGTTAGAATTCTATGCCAAAGAAGAAAGTATAAAGTAATAAAATGAAGAATGAATTCAAAAGAAATTGAAAGTATTTCATCCCTTTAAACCAGATCATGGCTGCGCTATTTCCCTCTCAGTTGCTTTCAATATTTACCGACGATCTGATAAAGAAAACATCGTTCGATGATAAGGTGCAGCAATGAGAAATCCGTATGAGTATTAGCTGAAATTATTCCACATTGGAGAAATAAAGTAAGAGGTATAAAATAAAATATTTCTATGTTTTTCCTTTCATTTTTTTTCTTTTCAATCCGGACTAAAGGATTATACTACTAAAAGATTTAGA